ATGCCTGATCACAGATATAGTATAGAAAACCCATACAGAGGGTTGTGAGGTCCGCGCAGAAAATGATTGGGACCGAGCTACCCTCCACCGACTGGATATATCTTGACCACTGCCACAACGGGGCTCAATTCACCCTGGCTAACGATCTGCTTTCACCCCTGGGCTCGGGTAGGAGGTGTCGCAGTATCGGAGCACTGACCAGTAGATTTAAAATTTGTTTCTTCAACCAAGCAGTCCCCATCATAAACAGCTCAAATTAGCACCTGGACATATTAACACCTGCACTTTAAGGTACTTCACTGTTTGCACTATGTCCTGTTGGCTGTATTCTAATGTCTATTGTCTAAATTTATTCTCCGTGTCTGTTTGTCATTTGTGCCTATTTATTTTTTTCTCTGCTGTTCAGCCACTGGGTATGGCTGAACGAGTTAGCATTTCAAAACACTTGTTGTATATGGCAAATAAAGAAATCTTGAATCTTGAAAGATAAGGAAAATTTGTGAAAGACTTGCAAAAAAAAAAAGGATACAGGCAGAGCAGACTTTTTGCCACCGCATGCCGCAGCCTGCTTTTGGTTGTGTTTTGAATCAGACAGGCGGACTGCTGCTTAAATCTTAGATCCCTCTCGGAACTGGGGGAGTAGGCAGATAGTGATGTGATCTGAATTGCAGTGGAGCTCTGTGGAAAAATCTGAAAATTCCGCTGGTTCTCGGAATTAGGGGCTCTTTTCTATCAGGCAGGGCCCGGCATCTTCTTAACGTAGTGGCCCTGGTGAAGCAGTAGCTTTGAGCTTGGCTTCGTCTCAGTAAGCGTCGGCCATAGAGAATAATTAAAATAAAGGTAAGGCTAAGCCATGCAACTTTGTGTACCTATCACATTGCTTGTGTGCTGCAACAACATGGGCCAGGCTGTGATTAAAACAAAAACCAAAGATCCAATGCAAATTCTGTGGCTGTCAGATGGATCCAGTTTAGGTTCCTTTGATGGTTTTCCTATTCCTTGTTCTGTGAACCTGTCTTTAACAGCTAATGCCTTTTTTTTACGTTTTATGCAGTTAGCACACAGGGAGGACTAAAGTGCAAAATATTGCAACTTTATTTGAATTGTAATCTGTGGTCTGTGAGGGTGCTGCTTGGATCGCAGATCCGTTAGTGTTGGTGGAGTTGAGAAAACATTGAACTGAGCACCGGTGCAATGATTAAAGGGAAACAAGTTTCTGAGCCTGAGCATTCAGAGATATAGATGGAAACGAGGTTCTGATTTAAGCTGTAGTCCTAGTACCTGTGGATTGCTTTGGCTGAAGGCAACAATTGTGGAGGCACTTGCTTTTCAAAAGCACAAGTTTTCAGTAGGGTGGGCTTGTGTGTCAACACAAGTCATTGTAAGAAGCCTGATTATCCACGGCGAGCCTCGTTTGGGTTAGGGTTAGGATGGAGGGACCTCCAGCGCAGTTGTGCTTCGCTTTATGAATCTGGTAGTTGAGCCAGAAATTCTGCAAATTCCGTCCTGCAGTCCTCTGTGCCGCTCTGGTCTCATGGGGTTAATTGATTACCTGGTGGGAGGAAACCCACAGTCAGGTCAGTTCAGAGCACATTCCTCCTAGGGAGCCCAAACTCTTGGCAGCGAGTAATTTGATTAATGGCCTCAGTAAATGAATTCCAGGTTTAATCACGGGGCTGGCATGCTAGTCTAACTCTGTAAACACTTGGCTGTGGAGAGGTTCAGTTTTCTGGTTGATTTTTTAAAAAAAATGCATTATTACTGATGCATGTGCCTATTCTGAAAACATCATAATTGCTTGCATTTGTATAAAATTTTACACATAGGAAGAAATCCACTTGGTCCACCACAGACGTCTGCTGCAAACATTCATCTGTCAGCAGCCCCGCGGTACAGCAGATCAGGTGCAGAAAGTCGAAATTACTTAGCCTCCTGAATTATGGAAGATTATAGGAAAGTTAGATCAATGGGGTAGCATCCCTGCCTTTTCACATACTGTCATGGGATCTTTAGTAACTGTGTCATCAGGACCTTATTTTAAAAGTGTCATCTGAAAGTTATCAAGCCCTGTACTGCACAGTGTCCACCCGTCACTGTACTGGGTCGTTGGTTTGGACATTCTGGTCTGGAGGGATGAGCGCCATCTGCTGACAAAAACACCACTCATAGAAGTGACCTTGACTTCCTTAGAGGTCTCCAATTCCAGTACTAGCTGGGCCTAGAGCCTTTCTTAGCTTACCGTGAGCATAAAATCCTTGATGATGGCAGGAGAGACTTTCAGCCATCCTTCTACCGAACAAAGCACTTGGCCACAAAAACTTTTATCAAGAGGGGGTGATGGTGAAATATATCACCTGTGCCTGTAGTGGTAGGAATGGCATTTTTTAACGTTATTTTCAAAAGTGTAAAGCACTGTTGTAGTGTAGGCTGAGCCATGCCTTCCCAAGCGCTGTATCCTGGAATGCCTGACTTCCTTAGTATATGTCCAGTGTAGTGTTTCGGTAAAGTTATTTTCTTACTGAAATTGTTTCCACTTGCATGTACTCCCTTTTTTTTTAAGGATGGTCCCAATTTACACATCTATGGCCTTCTAAGCAGCCTGCAGAGGTTCCTTAATCTAGTGTGGGTAGCAGGGTATGATGCCACTCTTAAGACAAGATCCGGCAACTCTTTTCCCTGACAGACCTCTGGATTTCACAACATCTCTCATCTTAACACATTTGATCTGATTTAAAGTCAGATAGCCTGTTTTTTATAGGGAATAATCCTTTCCTAATTGCTAAATAACTCTTGAAACCTTCAGCTCTGTGGCCTTGGAGGGCCGGGGTTGTCCAGTCCTGCTCCAGCTGCTGCATGGTGCCTGGTTTCAGAGGGGCTCACATGGTAAAGGTCACTCTCTGGAATGTGGACTGGGCCCAGCAATTAAGACATCGCAGGGGCCTAGTAGTCCAGGCCCTGCGTTGTGATTAACCAACCGAATCTGGAATTGCACAAGCTGTGACTGATTGCCGTCAGGTTTTGGAGTGTAACTGCCAAGGGAAGACGCCGGTCGCTGTGACTTAAGCCCATGGCAGGTGTCTGAGGAAGTCGAATCTGTCCGCCCTCTCGCGCAGCGCCGTGGCTTCAGCGCTAGCACTGTGGGAAAAGGAGCGGGCCAGCCCGCCAGTGCTGCTTACCGGAGGTCCGGTTTTGTTTAGCAGGTGGCGATTCCAAGCCGAGGGAGTGTAAAAAATGAAAGTGCCACCCATCCGTTCCGTCGCCCCAATTTTGTAACTGCTGTATCTAGCGCAGTTGTGGGGGAGCTGGGGCCTATCCTGGCAAGCAGTGGGCGTAAGGTAGGATACACCCTGCCAGGTTTGGGAAAAACAAGACCTTTGACGTGGTTTGGTGTCTTAGTAGGTAAAGGTAGCGTGGTAACGATTCTTTTAGCCAGATGGACACAGAAGCCCCGAGGAAAAAAACCTGGACTTAGTGAAGAGTAAAAGAAAATCGCTGTGGGCAGCATTGTGAGGATTCCCTCAGTGATTTAGCAGGAGTTGAATAACCCAGAGGGTGTGAGCCGGCCTCCCGGCCTGCAGTGCACACTTTGCACTGGGCTGTGGCCTTCTGCTGCTGTACTGTAGGTGTGCCACTTAACCAGCCACAGCTTCTGCCCTCCAGCATGCTGCTGAGATCTGCCGGTGTTTTTGTTTCTTTGAGTTTGGCAGGTGGTACCACATTAGGTTGTGACACAGGAGGTGTGAGCTTTTTATTCCCTCTTTCGCAGAAGCATGAATAAACAGGGCAGAAGTACCTTGCATTTTTTAATATGGTATATCTCGAGCTTCTGTTTTTCTGTGTCCATTTTTTTCTACAAAAATCACTGTTTTAAAAGTTTTTTCAATGGGTTTCCAGATATATTGCAATCTGTTTCTTGGTGTTTTCGCATGCCTTGTCTTGCCATAATAAAGCTGTTTTCACGGTCATTTTCCATTTGATTCCAGCATGCCTTTCCCTTCATTTTACTTAAAGAATGACAGTGTATAAGAAATGCTTTTATTTTTATGAAAGCTTTGTTTCCAGGATTAACACCAGTTTTTAGACATTTTAAAATAATTATTATTATTGAAACACAGATGTGGTCCTTAATAACTAGCCTATATGGTGTTTGTATATTCACAAATCATCTGATTAAGTGGTTGAAATGTAATTGTTCTGAATGTTTAGTTATTAATAATTTATGGATGACCTATGAAACCTGCAGGGTTGTGGATCTAGGGTTGGGCTCCCCTGGTTTAGGGTAACTCAGCAGTATTTGGACCAGGCCAGTTCCGTCTTTGCTTATTGTGATCACGGCCACACAGGCTATTATGCATGACTAAGCACTTTTGTCTTTCAAGATTGGTGTTTAAATTCCACAGCACGCCTGCTGTACTTGTATTTTGAAATGGGATGCTTCAAATCAAGTGATTTCCTTTCATACTGGGAGTGTTCTATTAGCATACAGTGAGTCAGTGGCACAGTCAGCATTTGAACCTGGAATCTAATAGTAGCAAGCCCTTCTCCTTATTCTGTACAACACATGTATGTTGGTCAGTCATACTTAAGCACCACTTAAAAAATAATGTCATTGTGCGAAGACCACAATGTGATGGTTTTTTATAGCTGTGTAGCTTTAGGATTTGCTAGTATTGCTCATATAACATTGTCACATCACTTCCAGTCTTAAGATGACGAGCTTGAGAGTAGCAGTGAGATTAATGGGGGGCTCAAAATGAAGGAGACAATGCCCATGGTTAAAACATTTGCCAGTGCATTTAGAAGTAGCTGCATAGCTGAAGCACACGTTAAACCCCGTCATGGTACAGATATGCTTATACTCTACTTCTAATTTAATTGAATATTGAAATTTGGGAACACTGGGAATTAAAAAAATATCTTTGTGCATCTTATGATGTGGTGTCACAGATTCTGGAATGCAAAGGTTTGAATAACAGTTCCCTGTTTTTTTTGTTTTCTAGGTTTGTGGCGATACTCTCCAAAATCTCCCTGCTTTTACATGGTAACAGAAAGCTAAGGCCAGAGGTAGGCTGTGCTTTATTTGATCTGTGTCCTGTACAGTGTAGTTATGTTTTAGTGGAATGGAGGGAAGGTTCTGAACACCCTGTGGCCATTGAAAATGCAGGGTTGTTTGTCAACTAATTACATCAGAAGGCAGATATTTAGGGTTTGGACTCTGCTCCCAGCTCAATCTGGCTTCAGTCCGGGTTGACTGACACAACCAGCGCAAATGACCTTCTGCTTTTCACTGTGCTAGTCCACGGTCATCTAGCAATAGTGCCAGAGCCCTATTCGCTGTTCCACTCTGAACCTCAAGGATTGTTCCTGAGGTTCCTGAAGAACCTGAAGAAAGAGATCATGTTGAAAATGAGCAGCTACAACTGAACATAAAACAAAGCTAGGCCCAAACATCTCAGCATGTGGCAACTGGGTCTTGTGCATCATGCATAGCTTGTTACATGGATTCATGCAGAAGGTTGATACTGATGCCAAAAGAAAGCTGGGTATGATTGCGTGTAGGTTTGTATTATTATTTGTATTTTTGCTTGTGTAAGTCTACTCTTGCCTTTTATAGATTGCTGCTATGCCTCATGATTACAGAGACTCGTTAACTGTGAAAAACCACAGTTTCTTATACAGAGCCCTGACAGACCTGTAGGTTTGGAAATCCTGTAAGCATTTTGCAGTCACTATCACTTTCACTCATTCATTTACTGGAAACCAGGGCTGGCTTCTGCAGAGCTGTGGGGCTTCTTCAAGAATGAGGAGGGCAGGCTGGGAGGAAGTTGGTACCCTGGTAACCACCACATCTCTTTGGTCTTCACTAAGCAGCTGACTTCCTGCCAAGTTGCTGCTCCATCCTTTGCTACTTCCTGTGACGGCAAGCTCTAGTGTGTCATTAATCCTTCTGGCTTCCACATCTTAATGCTCTGCATTTATAAAGAGAGAGAATACACTTGACAAAAACAAAACGAAAACAATGATTTTTACTGTAGCTGATCGGAAATTGTGCCGTCGTGCGTTTCTCTGACTCATGGCAACTTGTTGATCAATTTGATGTTACAAAGAGAGTTGTGTGAGAGATCCCAGAAGGTAAGGTGACTGTTACACTTTGTCATCCTTCCTCTTTAACCCCTCAAAAGTGGCAGTTTTTTATTTCTGTCTTCTGTTTTTTTTCACATCCTCTGATCTATGTTTGGTGCATTTTACTCTTGCTGCGTTTTATCATGTTTGTTAGTTTTCTAAAAGAAACACTGACCAACGTGACTGCAATGCAAGGGGCTTGGAGCTAAATTAGTGTAACACTGTGCCCATTGTAAAGAATCTGCCATGTCCTGTTTCGTGTGCACTTTCCAGAGAAATTCAAAAATGTTAAGTTGAAGTGAGACGAATCTGGTGTTTAATAGTTAGCACATTATATTCATTTCTGTGAGAGCTGAGCAGTGACACATTTCCTGCATGTCCATGTGTGTAGCAACTGTGTCTGCTCATGTGCCCAGCTGCATGGGCCAGTGATGTAATAATTGTCAATGGGCTATATCACTTTGGGTTATCCCTCCTTCTAGAAATCATGAGAGCTGAAGATGAATATCTCACATTCTTAGATGAAGGGCTCTCCTTCATAACACATTCTAAGAGCTCACAGCCTGTGATTTTATCCCCTATTTTTTATATAACCCCCTAATTATACACTATAATTTACTGTATATATTACTATATACAGGGGAAGTCCTTGTAAGATTTATGAAATACTATGCATGTATGTATGAGTGAATGCGTGGATTCTGAAATTATATATCCACTCTCGGGAGTCGCAGCACGGGCCAGGGTTGAGTTCAAAGGATTCCGATGGTGCCGTTGATCGAACGCTTCAGTTCCTCTCAGACTCTTTGTGACTTCCATATTGCTGCTAGCCCTTGTTTTCAGCCATCCCCTGCAAAGCCCTTCTAATTCGCTTGGAACAAGCTGATCTCACGCCGACAAGACAACAGCTTTAAAGCACAGCAGGGAGAAGCAAGCTCATAGACGTGATGCATCTTCACAAATGAAATCTTCAGGAAAAAAATTCAATTGTAAAGTTGTTTAAATGTCATTTGTGGAAGATTTTCCTGATTATTTATGCTGTGAGCTGCTATTAACATAGCCCACGAGAACTAGGTTAATAGCAGCTCACAGCATAATGTAGCTTCACGTTGTGAAGAAAGTGGGGAAAAAAACTCTGCTTGGGAGCTCAGCGCATGTATTGGAGGCCAACAGTTTAAAGATTTTCTGCTTGATGCACAGCAGAGTTAAAGTTGAAAGTCCAGTTAAATTTAACAATGCACTAGTAAGTCTTTATTTACTGTAGAATATGGTGTACAGTTTTTGTCACCTGTATAGAAGTGGACTTTGGATCTTTTTAGCCTGGAATAGAGAAGACTTCAGGAGCGAGTATTCAAAATCCCTAAAGGCACTGAAAGGGTCACCCCAGTGGCTGTCTTCAGTATTGAAATGTAAACCAGAAGCCACTAGTGGAAAGAGTGTAAAAAAAAAAAGTGTCCACTATCTACTTCCTCACAAAGTGTCTACCTGTGATTGTGGCCCAAGCTTACTCAGCCATAGTGTCAAAGCTAACACCTTGACTCCTTTTAGAAAACAGCCAGCTGGGGGGGCCTGCACTCACTCCTAAGCCTTCTTCTGCTCTAATGAATTTGCAGATCTTTTTCTTTCCTTTGCAAAGGCACAGAAGACCTTTGCTTTGGGTACTGATGACTGCACGAGTGATCCTTCAGCAGTGAGAAATTAGCCCCGTAGGGCTAAGCAGAACGTAAATATATATAATAAAAAATTAACATATGCAATAGAAAAGCCTATTAAGTATGCATACAGTATATGATATATGCAATAGAAAAGGCTATTAAGATGATTCCTGACCTTAATTGTTTAATACAGTTGAGTAAAGGAGCACCGCTTAATTCTACCTTCACTTGCCTGTGAAGATCACCATGAGACCAGAATAAATCATAGAGAATTTGAAGTTTTTCTTACTACAGGTAACTTCCATGCTAGAACTGTGCAGAATAATGATCTTCCTTATGCAGCTGTTTTGCAGACTTGAGGCCAGCGTAGAGAGATCTGTGGTTTAGAACTGTAAGTGATGCGTGAATTTTTTGAATAACAGTCTACAGTAGAAGCTTTCACACGCACAACCTTTTTGAATTTTTTTTTAACCATTTATTCCCTTCCGTAAAAAGTAGATGAATTCTTTAGCCGTACTGTTGCCATTTACTTTTATGGGTGTGCCTTCTTGCTTTGCTAGATAACATCAGAGGATTCAGGTAATACATGTAATAATTCACTGCTCTGAGTTGCTAGATTTGTTAGGTTTCTTGGTAAATGCTTTGAGGAGATGCTTGACCAACATACTACTTGCAAATGAAGGAGCACATTACCACTGGGTGGGAAGAGGCAGTCTCAAAGAGAAGCCATCGGGGACTGTAGTTTTGTTTGCCTCTAGTGGATAGGTGCTAGTCTGTATTTATTTTGTGTGGATATAAAATTTTGGGAAGGGAAATGTCTTTGTTTGGAACTTGTTATAAGTATTACAGATATACAGTAAAGAATATTTCTTATTTTCTCACTGAGCTTTCCTAGTCCATAGACACACAATATACATCCCCTCACTATGCCCCTGTAGTCTGTTTCTTGACAAAATTCAGTGGCATGAGACAGACGGACGCCTGTGGCTGCTGTGTTGCTCCGCTGAAGGCCTGCGGAGCCCTGGTCTCCGCCATGTTTTCCCTTAGCCACGCTTCCTTAAGATCTAATCTGGCAGGCATTTTTTTAAAGGCAAAAAATCTGGGGAAAAAAGCACAAAAAAATGCAGAAGTCAAAAACCACCGGAAGAGAAATATTACTGATGTGAAAGTAGTTAATCTTTAAAGCCCAAAAAAGGGAAAGGGTTCCACTGTACACTTTTTTTTTTTGCAACCTATTATCTCCCGTCTCTTGAGCCTTGTGTGAGAGGGCTGATATTTTACAGTGACTGGCTGCTGCAAAATGTTACATAATAGGTGGTGGCTCTTTCTGCGGCTCTTGCTGTCCAAGAGACGCCCCGAGTGTGCTCTGTGTGGGTTGGGAGGGATCAGACAGTTTTTTTGCTGTCTTTTTTTTTGCTGTAACAGTACCCAGGCACTAGCAGTTTATTTGCAGATCGCCTTTTATGAGGTAAATTAAGCTTCTCGGGGGATGTGCGTTGAAAATATACTTCACCTTGCCAGAATGTAAGAGAATGGCATGTTTTTTAGGAAGGCCCATCATGTCGAAAATAATGCCAGTGGCCCAGCACGGGATGTATTCCAAGATTCCTGGGATGGGTGAAGTAGTAGCTAGCGTTTTATCTGATTCTCTTTGGGAAAGGAACATGATATACAGTAAGAAGCCATGACAGAGGCATGATTGTTGGTGCACATTACTCTGGAGACTTGAAGAAGTAACAGCATAGCATATACTGTTTACTGCATGTCACTCAGTCTCAAGATTTTAGAGCAGGGCTGGTTATTGCTGGTCCTGGAGAGCCGCCATCTAGGAGGTTTTGCAGATTACCTGTAAATCATCAATTTGTAAATTGGCCAACTGAATCCAGGTCTCTGTCTCTCAGTCTCCAGAGCTTGCTGCTGTGCTACACTCAGAAACCAGGCATATCATGCTGTTTAGGCAACAGAGCATGGTGTTTCAACTGACAACAGCACAGGAGTGTGGAATATAGAAGTTTTTCAAGCGAGGGCTGAGCGTCATTTGTTCTATTTCTGCCAACAATATATGTGATTTATTAGAAGGATTAAGGAAATGAAAATATTCCCTTTCTTATTTCAGGAAACAATAGTACACCTAGATTACTTAATACATTTTGGTAAATGCTTATGTATGTAAAATACATGCATATATCTACTGGCTTACGTTTATTTACTATTTAAGTGTAATGAAAAATTATTTCATATGTATTTTTTTTAGGCTTTAGTCAGTGAATTAACTGGCGTAAGATACAGAAGCAAGCAATGACAGTGTTTATATTTAATGAGGTGGAGCACTAATATGAGTAATTTAAAAATGCTGTAATGTGTGTTGTCCAGTGCTCATTAGTTTTTATTAGGTAGAGAGGACATTTGTGTATTTCTCCTAGCTATTACTCGTCTCTTCTGTCTTCAACTAGGAGTCAATTGCTGTCTCTCTGTCCTACTCCCAGAACTGAACAACGCAATATAGTTTCAGCTGAATTCCACTATATGAAAGGGCCGACCCTCTGAGAGAATCCAGTGCTATTGGGTATATTAAGGGATGACATCAAGATAACACTCTCACAAATGAGCCCTGTCACACTCCACACTATTTTGTTTTGTCTGCAGAAGTGACCTTGGTTTGTAACATTAGAATTAACTTCCATTCTAGACTTGGATTGTGTCCATGTGTAATGTGTGTGGGAAAGCTGCAGTATGTTTTTTGCTGCTCTGGACTCGGATGTTGGAGTTTGTCAGCTGGATTGTCGAAGTGTTAGATTTCCAGGGTTCAATTGTGCAGGTCTCTTTATGCCTGAACTGCTACATATTAATGTTTAATATTTTGGTCATCCAGCTATTCATTAATTTATAAACATTTTAAGTTCTTTGCTTTTGAATTCATTTCCATATTGTTTTGTGCTGTGTAATATATAATGTGGTATTAAATGGGGGTAGGGGTTGGAGATATTGAAAAAGATCCGAGATCCTATTTTGCAATACTGAATTTTGTAATTTTATTCTTGTGTGTGTGTGTAACTTATGCACACTTGTTATGCAATCTATGATACCAAAAAACAAATCAGTCAGAGGTGTATGTGCAGACAAACAGTAACGGCATTCAGCTGTGAGGAGGAAGCATTGGAAAAGAAGCACATGGACAAAGTACTAATCAGCCGGTTAGACAGGAGCAGAACTGCAGGTAACCTAGTTGACCCTGAGTGTTAACACAACACAAATGAGCCGCAGTGAAAACACTAGCATCATGTCCAGTTCCTGTTTTTTTAAATTTTGTCCTCCTTCCTTTTTTGTCATTTTTTGCAAGCGTTCTTTTTTTATATTTAAAAAAGTATGCCACTTCCTCTTTTATTCATGTACATGCATATAGGTCTACATGTGCATATTTCTGTGTTATGACTCATTTTTTAGAATGTAAAGTTTTTGGAAGCTCACAGGTGATTGAACATGAAAAACAGAGAGGCAGACCTAGATACTGCTCCAATGTTATTGCTTATTGATACCCATCCTTCCTGTGAACCCCTGTTCTGAACTGGGCTATTGTGTATCCTTTGATACACTATAAAGTTCTGCTGAACCCTGCCATCTAAAATGATCCACATTGACAACATGACAGTACAGCTGTGGGCAAGAGGTGAGCCCTTTATCAGCGAACCTGGCCTGGGGCAGAGCTATGGTGGGAAAATAGGCCAGTTCTGCGGTTTTCAGTTTGTTGTTCTTCTTGGCACTATGGCGGAGTTGTGTACTTCCCTTATAAAAGTTTCCTTCCTTGCCATTGCAAAAACTGAGCTAAATGCAGCAGGTTTCAGATATACCTTATCTTGTGGTTTGCTTATACAGTAGGTGCTTTCAAAAACTTGTGTAGGTTTGAATGAAGTGATTAATCGCCTGACATTAATTGAATCCATTTACTCACAGTATACTATACAGTCGATTTTCTTTTGACAACCACACTAGTGTTGACTCTGAGAACTTATCCCATTGTTTATGAGAAAGTAACCGCTGCTGCAAAGTGAACTCAAGTCTTCAATTAAAAAGGGAAAACCAAGGCCTCTCACATGGCAGCTGTGAGTATTTCTATGTGAACTGAGGTAATTGTCTTTCTAGTTGCCTCTTTAGCATTGATAGGCAGTAAGTGTCTCAGTAACGACTCAACATTACTGTCTTTCAGCAAGTGCTCTGCACATTATCATATTCTTTTTTGTCTCTGTCCCATAGTGGATGGCATAGCTCAAAGGCAGAGGTGTCAAACAATGCCCAGAAGTCTGCACTACTTTGACTGCTTTTCATCCCCAGAGCATTGTGGTGCTCACAGTAATTGGCTTAATTATTTTATCAACTGGACAAATTTAACACTTCCCTCTGGGCCCGGGAAATGTTTTGTAGGTAACTGTACAGCACTTTGAGTCACGTGTACCTTTCAAAGCAGCTGTGAAAGACCTTGAACAGAAAAGCACAAGTTGTGCTAACTGAAAGCTTAAATTGTAGTGAAAATTATAAGATCATGATTATATTATAAGATCATGCTGCCTTTGGGGACAAAAGTTTTGAAGTTATGAATGGGTTTAAAACATGAAAGCCCAAAACTTGTCCTGCTGTTCTTATACGAGGTTCTTCAAGGTTAGTCTTCATTGTCATTTTTTTTCCTCACTGAAAGGTTCAGAGAGTGGAAGACACAAAAGTGCTTCTCATGTTGATTTAATGTTACAGTAGATCTGTGGCCAGATGAAATCAGTTTATGTGCAAGAGCTTTGCCAAGGGTAGGGTGGTGGATAATTGCACTGCTCTTCAACGCCTGGGTCCTGGGGTTCAGTTCCGGCCTGGGGCGCCTTCTGTGTGGCATTTCTCCCTGTGTTCATGTGGGTTTTCAGAAGCTCCGGTTTGCTCCCCCTTGAAAGATAAGCAGAGGAGGTTTGATTGGCAATGCTGAATTCTCCCTTTCTCCTTGACCCTTACAGTGGACTGGCGGCCTGTCCAGAAGGACAGGCTCCAAGTGACCATGACCTTCTTCAGCAAAAGCAGTCACAGCAGCAGAGCCTGATTTTTGCTGAGCGGTCACGCTAGGGCTTTGCGAAGAGAAGCTCTGCTGGCAGCGAGGCTCTGATGTGCCGTATGTCTCGTAGGGTGCTGAAGATGGCAGTGTGGATCCAGGCCCAGCAGCTCCAAGGGGAGGCTCTGCACCAGATGCAGTCCCTGTACGGGCAGCACTTTCCTATTGAGGTCCGCCACTACCTGTCCCAGTGGATCGAAAGCCAGATGTGGTAGGTGTGGAGCTATACTGTGTACACTGTTCACATCACTGTTATCCTTAATTCTCCTTCCCTAGTTTGACACCGGCTGTACATACTTTGACAAGTGCTTTGGATGTCAGTCATACTGCAATTCACTGTCTCCACACCCTGGAGTCCTTTCACTGGCTTCCTATCATGATTGGTGTCAACTTAAAACTGCAGATGCTCACCTGTAAGGGTTTATATGGCTTAGGACCTCAGTATCTGTCTGACCTACTGTCGTCCTACACTCCATCTTGCCACCTTCATTCATCTAATTCTTGTCTCCTGTCTGTCCCCCATGTCCTTCTACACTCTATGGATGACAGGGCCTTCTTCAGCTGCGCCCCTAAGCTCTGGACTTCTGTCCCTACGGATATCAGACAGTCACCTTCCCTGTGCTCTTTCAAATCAAGACTCTATTTAATTAATTTTTTTATTTAATTGGTTGTGTCTGCCCTTTGCTTTCCTGCTGTATTGCAAACCTTTATTGTAATTGCATAATCCTGCTGTCTCCTCTCAATGAGTACATTTTTTCCTGCTATAAAGCATTTTTTATAGAGAAACCGCTTGTAAATGCACTATATAATATTTTGCACTGTATTTTTACGTTTGCATCATTAAGTCACTTTTGATAACATCAGGCAAGTGAAAAGTTTAATAATAGTGTTACTTTGTAATGAAAACCTGCAGTATTTGATAAATGCTTTTTAGCCAACATAATTTTGGCACCGAAATGAGGAATTGAAAAGCCTCACCGTTTGATAACCTAGAGTGAGAGTGCTGAAACGCAGGCTAACTTGCCACTTAACCATCTCTATTTTTCTGTTCCGTGTTTTTCTTGGGAAGGGATTCCATTGATTTGGAGAATCCTCAGGAGGAATTCAAGGCCAAACGGCTGCTGGACAGTTTGATCCAGGAGCTCCAGAAAAAAGCAGAACACCAAGTTGGTGAAGATGGTTTCCTGTTGAAGATCAAACTTGGGCACTACGCAAGTCAGCTCAAGGTGGGGGCACATCTTCAGTATCCTTCATAAGTCCCCATAAGGAAAGTTACAAACAAGAGGAGGCCGTTCAGCCTATCTACCCTATGTGGTAGAAAATCCTTTGGGCACCTCATCATTCCTTTTCCACCTATTATTTCAAGGCTTTTCTTGAAATGGACACCTACGCAGAAGGTGGATGTTCTTAAAAACATTGGGACAATAGTGCAGGTTTGAGTAGTGTGTTCACTGCACTATAGTAGGACTGTGCAACAGATATGGACCACACTGTTCAGAAAGTAAAAGACAGCATGTGTCTAGTAACTGCTTAAAGGGTGCAGTAAGGGCTTGAAGACTTAAAGGGAACAGTAGGAAACCTGCATTTTAGAAACTTATTGCAAATCATTACAATTTTAAACACTACTGTGGGTTTCAGTCAGCATAAGAGCACTGACATATTTTATGCTGAATACCATTTGTCAGCAGATCCCTTTTGTGACAAATGGCAAAATTAGCTAGAAGTACAAAGAGCACACAAGCGGCTAAATTATTGGAAGAATTAAGTAGGAGACAAACAGGCTCCAGAGGTAGTGATCAGTGTCCCCCGGGAATAGATGATATGTACCAATCAAGACTGCATGTTCTCAAGAGGAACCAAACTTGCTTCATAATTATTGGATTTTTGTTTTTAATCATCAAACCAGATCAGCCCCCAGAATGTTCAAAGCCGTATCACATGAACAAAAATAGACACAAGATGCTTAAGGCCCTTAAAAGACCACAGCTCCTTTCTGTGTGTACTGCCTCTTTCACTATTGTTCAACACGAAACATGAAAACCCCTCTCCTCCAGCTACTTCACCATCTGAAATGCCAAAGTCTGGTTTTATTTAAATTTCCTCTGTTTTGTTCAGCAGGCTCTGAGTAAAACTACTTGTAGTCAGTGTGCATATAAATATATTGTAACAATGTTGGTTCAGATGCTGTTTTTTTAAAGTGTTTTTCTTTTTATCGGCCATGTACTGCTGACCAGTTTTGAAACAAGGTAAATCTTTGATGTGTTACATGTAATATGTATGTTTTGGGGTGGCACATTAGTGTGGTGGTTGGTGCTGCTCCCTAACAGCTCTGAGGGTTCACAGGGTTCAGTTCTGGGCTCAGGTGTCTCTCCATGTGGAGTTTGCACATTCACCTTGTGTTTGCGTGGGTTTTTCCTTAGTGGCCCAGTTTCTGCACACCTCCCAGAAATTTGCAAGATGAGTCTGATTGGCTACTGGGAATTGTGTTTTTCTGTGTGGGCCTGCGATAATATCCAGGGTGCTCTTAGTCCTACATCACACCCTGTGCTTACAGGAAACACTATGGCTCACTGTGACCCTCAGCTCTCTGCTGATGGATGGATGGTGCCATTATCCCAAGCCTGGACTTCCATTAGTTCAGATTGGTTTGTTGTGAAGTGCAGAAATGGGGAAACCCCCAAGAACACAGAATGAAGGTTATAAATGAGAGTAGGCCACACAACCAATAACACCTTTAGCTATTCAGTATGTGTGGTCTAGTTTTTGTGAAGAAACATGTTTTCAGTTTTTCAAAACCGAAGAGGTCTAAAACAAAACAGTATGACAGTTCCCCCAGTAGAACAAAAACGGCCCTCCCTCCCACTCCCTTCAGTGGATCCTCCTCCAGGTTTCCAGCCAAAGGACTGTGGAGATAAGCAGCTTTCTGATAATGTATGGAAATGCTCTCTGTAATCTCTGCACGCTCAGTTACATCTACACATGATAGAAGAAAAAGAATCGGAGATCAGAAGTGAGCAAAGTACAGAAGAAATGCTCAGTCAATTTGATGTGTGATTTTTAAGTACACACTTTTCATGCAGTGTACATATGGGTTTCACCGCCACTGGCAGCATGTTTAAGATGAAAAGAAGAAAGATTCCCAGCTGTGTTGCTCTAATCCTGTTACTCACTGACCTGGATCTGGCGGTCACAGTTCCAGAATCGCATTTGTTGGCCTGTCCACAGCCATTTCCCAACACTTCTTGACAGGGGCTTCTCACCTTCCACTCATTCCACTTTACTCCATTGCGGCATTCTGATGCTTCATGCTTCTTGACTGTTTAATTGATATTGGCAGGATCAATAGAACCATTAAAGTGCTGCCTGTGCAGTGGAGTGGAAGGGCCTCATGTCTCATTGCTGTGCCCTTTGGGAATAGTTCCAGCTTCTCTTCTTAAGGTGGCAGATAAAGGATTAAGCAATGTTCTTTTGCAAACAACAAAGGTTGCTAGTGTTTCTATTACTGGGGGGTCTTATCTGTAATTACTATACAGAGCCCACCTGTGTCTTTGAAGTCTAAGGTGTATAAGGTGTCATCACCCAGTGTAAATTGGTTTAGGATAGAGGAATGGGTTCACACAGGAATGTTGGGGCCAAAGAGGTCAGTTGCCAGAGTTAATGGCAGGAAACTTCTGAGTTTTCAGGACATTAATTATAAGTTCTCTTCCAAAGCAGTCCCGTTTAAATGTTGTTTCACACCAACATTGTTTGACATGCTCATGCTTTGGTACGGTGTAATTAGTTTTAAAAGACAAATGACATCTTTTGAATTGCAGCGCAATCATGTCAAATCAGCAGATTAACACAGCTCCTTAAAAGCTAGTGTTTCACTAGAGTCTTTTGCGCACAACAAAATCTATCAACACGCAAGAGAGGTGAGCCAAATCTCAAGAGCCCATGTGTTCTGTGCTTATGTTGATCTCCTTCTGATGCTCGTTGTCTTGCAGAGTACGTACGACCGCTGCCCGCTGGAGCTAGTGCGATGTATAAAACACATTCTCTACACTGAGCAGAGACTGGTGCGAGAGGCAACAAATGTAAGCAATTCCCTTTCATTACTGTATTTACTGTGGTCTTCCTGACGACATGAGATCCCAGCAGCTGACAATTGAGAACATGTGGAAAAACATCCCACTCGTACGCAGAATGTGGGCTGTAGCCCCACAGAGCAATGCGAGACTCTTTGGGACTGAGCAGATTTTTAAATTTGCCGAAGTTCTGATCAAATGACTTCATGATTTTCCAAAGCTGATGTGGGTTTTTCTAATGGGTAAGGGCAACAAAAAAAAAATACAGTCCAACTTAGTGAAAATCCAAAAGAAGTCGTATGAATAAACATCAATTTGATGATTTTACTGAACATATTCTCAAAATTCAGAAATTGGTGTTTGTTCAAAATTGGTTTGACTTATTAAAGAAAATGTTACTGTCTTTCAGAAAATTACAGTATTACAGGCTTTATTTTTATTAGGATTCCAATACTTGATACTTGTACAAAATTTAAATTGTGTTATTATAAGAGTGTTTTTCTCTAATTTATGCTGTTTTTTTGTTTGGTTTTACATTTACCAGCACTTTAAATTTGTTTTTCAAATCCCTGCTATTTTTCCACTCTAAATGACAGAAGGTAAGGGAGTTAGGAAATGTATTTATTGCCAACTGAAAAAAACAAGATGTGACGTGTCTGTCACAGCTTTTAAAACTGGTCCTGTTTCAAAGATATGGAGGCTCATCTTGCATATATCTAAGACCACCCTTTTCACACAGTAGCAAGCAGAGACTCCCATTGCATAGCAGTCTGAGCCAGTTCAGATTCTACATGCTGCCTGCACCTGTATATGAGCCTTCATCAACTACTGACTTTTACCCTACTGCTTATCTTGTATTGGGCATATTGGCAGTGTACATACAGTACATTCTTGATACATATACATTTTTATTTAAGATTTGAACAAGAGCCTGCAACATCTAAATCCTGCCATGCAATAAGAGTTTCCTTTACTTCCGTCTGTAAAAGAGGATCAATAACGAAACAAGCTTGCATTTGAGAAACGCTTGGAAATGTTGTGCAGTTGTGCGTGATGTTGAGCATGAGTCAAGAGGAAGAAGCAAAACGGGATTTCTTTTTGTTTTGCCATCCATGTTTTGCAGTATTTGTGCTTGAAGTGGTCTTGTTTTTGTTTTTTTCTTGTGATTGGTCTTTTTTCTGATCACATGGAAACTTAGCTGTCTCAAAAGAAAAACAGGATACACAAGCGCACACTGCCCAGAGGCAGTGAAGTAGTTTGATTGTGTTGTCATTGAAAAGCCTTCCTTTCAGAGCTTTGTTAACATGCTCACCTCTGAGCTGAGCCAGACACCCCCTGCCTTTCCCTGCACAGCACGTGTATGAGGTGAGGCTGTTCAGTTCCAGGACTGAATTATGTACACAGAGGAGGTTCTGTTTCAACATGTGACCTGTGTATCCTGTTTGTGATATTCCTTTGTGTAATGCTTCAGATCATTAGGGAAACAATTCAAAAGCAAAATATTTTGAAAACAGAAAAAAAAAATGCTACAACCTAAAATCCAAATACTGGATACACCAGCATTTCATAATCCTTATTTTGTCCCAAAGCTGCCTGGACAGATCTTGTGAAAATTCCTATTAAGTGTTTAGTTTTCTGCTTGTTTTTTCTTATTTCTAAAAAAGCTTGCACATCACGAAACACAAAAAGGCTGGGCTGTTAAGAGTTTAAGTTGACTGTCCGAAAGATCAGATTCTCTCAAGAATTTCATTTTGTGTGGGAGCTGGCTGCATGTGGATTTGTTTTTGTACTAGCCTGCTTGGTTTATTTTGCCTCACCTGTTCCCTGACTGGTCCCCTGCCATCAATGATGAATATCCACCGTCTTAAGACTGTGGTTTTCCCCAAGCCTTGGCCCCTGCCTTGAGGAAGAGTATTGACAAGGCCTTGGGGCCTATTGTTAGAGCTGTGCTGTTAGCGTTTTCACAAGGGTGAAAACCCAGGTTACAGCCGTGTTGAGAAGTTGTCTCATGTGGTTGTTCAGTAGCTAATCATTCTTAGACTCTCGCCTGCTGAACCGTAGGCTTCCTCGATGTGGCTGGGCAGTGTAAAGACAACCTTTTTGTTTGGCGTTCCTCTCACAGTCGAGCTCTCCGGGAGGAGGGCTGCTGGACAGCATGTCTCAGAAGTACCAGCAGATCAACCAGGCCTTCGAGGAGCTGCGCGTGATGACCCAGGACACGGAGAACGACCTCCGCAAGCTGCAGCACAACCAGGAGTACTTCATCATCCAGTATCAGGAGAGCCTACGCATCCAGGGTGAGTCTCTGCTGAGTACTGTCCATGGGCCGTGGAATCTCTGAATGCTTCGAATTGTACTGCTGTTTGCACTGCATGTTCAGTTAACTAACTCAGTCGAGTGCATTAACTCTCACTGGAATGAGTGAGCTGTTAATATTGAAGGCCAAATAAATCAAGTAAAACTGTCAGTAACCTCCTTCCAGATTTACAGTATCAATACTTATCTCATCATGGCTTATATGCACCTTTTGCAGTACTGGAAAATGGGGGGGAATCACCACTCAAGAGTAAGAGAATTAGAAGGTTGCTGTGCCCACTGTGGAACGTATGGCTCTGTGGTTCAGTCTGTGTTTCACTGTATAGCTTGTGTGTGCAAGTTAGTTTATATACTGTACCTGTGCCCATATCCCCAGCACAGGGGTTAGTGTCTCTGCATGCATGGACCAGGTGTGCTCTGAAAAGTGTGTGTGTGTGTGTGCCACAGCATGATTGTGGTTTCCAGGGTTTCAGTGTCCCTCAGTGTATTTAGGTCTCTACATATGTTTTAGCCAACTTTATCAGTGTTTTATTGCACCTGTCGCTGTTGCTATATCTGCTTCCATTTGTGCTACTCTCCCAAGACAGGCTGACAGTGTGCAGACAAGTCCAGTCTGTAAAATGCAGAAAAATTTAGGAATGATTATTTCATTTTTACCATTTCAAAAAGCCCCATGTGGAGTTGGCTGGCTAGGAAAATTTGAATTTGTAAACACTGCTCCTCAGAAATGGTTTAACCTGTTTTCTCCAGATTGGGACCTGACTTTATTATAGGTCCACTCCCAGTTTACCTTGTCAAATTAGAGTGGTTCAGTGAGTTGGGACGGGTATGATTGGTGTCTCCATGGTGACTATCCTGCCTTTGCCTTGTGTCCTCCAGCCCAGCTGACTAGCCTGTCCACTCTGCCCCCTGCGGACCGCCTGTTGAGGGAACCCAGCCTGCAGACCAAGAGGGCCACTGTGGAGGCCTGGCTCACTCGGGAGGCCAACACACTACAGAAATACAGACTGGTATGTTACCCCAAACCAATGTGCCACAGCTGTAAAAAGCTGCAAAACCAGCATGGAGAGCAGGGGAACCTTGCTGTTGAAAGAGCAGTGGCCATGACATTTGGCTCTTGAAGTCCAGAATCCAGCATTCTTTCTACAAAGGAATCAACTACTCCACTACTCCATGTAAATTGTACAATTATGTTGTGTTTTTGGGATGTTCTCTTTTTAAAATGGGGCTCAATGCAATCATTTCATCCAATCCATGTGCAATAAACAGCAATAAAGCTGTATAAAACCTTGTCTACAGCATGAGGTTTTCAGTGCACTTATTCAAATTATATGCAGGCATGACTCATTTCAGGCATTGTGCATCGTCCTGTGCTGAGACTTATTTCTTCGTTCATGTCTGTCTGCCCATGTGCCCTCAGGACCTGGCCGAGAAGCATCAGAAGACTCTGCAGACGCTCAGGAAGCAGCAGACTGTCATCCTGGATGACGAGCTGATCCAGTGGAAGAGGCGGCAGCAGCTGGCGGGGAATGGGGGGCCCCCCGAGGGGGGATTGGATGTGCTGCAGTCCTGGTGAGTCCAGTTGTCCACTTGTCCACCTGTGTGTCTGGGTCTTCCTTCTTGTGCATCTTGTCCGTCACTCAGGCACATTCCCATCCGTCTGCTGAAGTCTCTCCCTAAAACCTGCAGCATCCTATAGCTCAACTGTTACAGGGGTTCGCCCAAGAGCAGGTTGAGCTGATCTCCTCTCAGGTTCTAGCCTGGTCGTGTCACTAGCTGACTATGACTGGGATTCCCTAAGTGGTGGCACAAAATGTGTTTAGTTAAAGGTGTGGTAGGGTTAGTTATCCAGGACCTCTTCAAAAGACACCTAAAAAGAACCTTCAGATAATACTTTGTTAAGGTTTTAATGTTCCAAGTCAGAGGTAGGTGCTATATTAGTAATGAAATTTAAAACATGCTCGAACGAAAGTGAATTAATAAAGCTAATTTGAAATGGGCACCTTTTACTTGCTGCTTTCCGTAGCTGGAGTTCTTATGATTCCTGCGTGCCATCAGGGTTGACCACAGCACTTTCTCCCTCTGCGCAGGTGTGAAAAGCTGGCGGAGACCATCTGGCAGAACCGGCAACAGATCCGAAGGGCTGAGCACCTCCGCCAGCAGCTGCCCATCCCCGGGCCTATCGAGGAGCTGCTGACCGAGCTCAACGGCACAATCACAGACATCATATCTGCACTAGTCACAAGGTCTGTTCCGCTTGCTCTTCCTTCACATTCACTGCAGCTGACCCATCAGATTACAACAGTGTGCTCATAACAGAGTGCTCCATTAGCGTGGGGGCACTTTAACTTGTATTTCCTGGGTACTACTGCATTTTTAGTTAACGTCAAGAAAAGGTTTTGGGATTTGCTTACATTATTTAATATGGAAAACATGTTGACCAGTGATCCTAACAATAAATTAAGTTACGCTTTACAGTGGATGACGGCAACAATACTAACAGGAATGTATCTGCATTATTATTAACTGTTGTAACCAATAGCATTTTACTCCCATTGGTTACTACAGATGCATCATTATTCTAGTCCTATGGGGGTATTTAAATTAGTGTGATTTTAACCATAGGCTAATCGATAGCTTTTCCCCATTCTTTCTGGAGTCATGCAGTTAACATGAGTTCCCTCCCCTTGTCCCTCTCAGCACCTTCATCATCGAGAAGCAGCCCCCGCAGGTCCTGAAGACGCAGACGAAGTTCGCGGCCACGGTGCGGCTGCTGGTGGGGGGGAAGCTGAACGTGCACATGAACCCCCCGCAGGTCAAGGCCACCATCATCAGCGAGCAGCAAGCCAAGGCCCTGCTGAAGAACGAGAACACCCGGAAGTGAGGCGCCCTCCTCTTGTTCTCCCCGTCTCTCCACGCTCAGATCCCTCTTTTTACTGCCTCTTTCGCCGTTTTCATCCGTGCGGTGCCTTTCTTTTTTTATTGGCGTGACCAGCTATAGCTGTGTTGCTTAAGCAGTTAACTGCAGTTGCACAATGTAATTGTCAGGTGAAGCAAAATTAAAAGGGAGGTTGAAAAGAATTATGATTATTATAATGTATCGTAATTATGGGTTATTTGGATAATAATAGAAAACGGTCATACAATTGCCTGCAGGCAATAAAACAGGAACTGTAACATGGAACCTCAGTAAATAACCACCTCCTCACCCTAGCAGAGCTTTCCCTGTGTGTCTTTCGATACTGGAGGAAAAATGACCGATAACCATCCTGGAAAGGGTCATGAGCCATGGTAATGGAAACCTGTACTAGAAGGTCAACACAGGTGCAACCTGTTACTGTAAAAAATACAGAACTTGAAGCTGTGCTGCTTAGAGAGGAGGGAAATGAGAGTTGAAGAATGTCCCTTCCAAGGTTTTCCGAACTTTCCCCACACGTGCCTTTGTGTCCTCGACACATCCCCAATCTCAAGCTTTTAGTGACAGTCGCTAACGAAAGCTGTTATCTGGTGGTGCAAAACAAGGTGACCTAACTATTAATATTGAATACAAATTTTTGGGACATTACCTTTGTTGTAGGACATTCTCATTCTAATCCACAGTTGTCGACCGTCTCCAGTTCAGCTCGTCAGAAAGGGCAGGTTGCATTTAACCAGATAAATTGAATTGTGCATTAATTGCTAAATGTATAGTCACTACATGCATTGCCGAAAAATAGTCTCTACAGGGTTTTGAGTGCACAGGAATATTGTTCATTTTGTGACGAAATGTAGCCCCATAACGGAGCTAAAACATTCAGATGTGCTGCTGGCCAAAAGATGCCTTTTATTTAGATAGTTAATAATGTGTGGCTGGTTGAGAAGGGAGTGAATCCCCATTCACAGCCTTCGTTTGTTTTGTGTTTCAGTGACAGCAGTGGAGAGATCCTCAACAATAACTGTGTCATGGAGTACCACCAAACCACTGGAACTCTCAGTGCCCACTTTAGAAATATGGTGAGATTTTTTTCACAAAAGGGTGTTGGACTTAGAAACTTCAGAATTATTAGAATTAAAAAAAAATATTGTTGGCTCAAGTGTGTGGGTCACTGAAATACCACCCCTTGACGTGTCCTGGCTTAGAGAGGGGAGAAATGTCACACGGTGTGAGGCCTTATCCTGACTTCTGTGAGCGACTGGGATTTGTCTTCTCTCTTCTAGTCTTTGAAAAGGATCAAGCGTTCCGATCGACGGGGGGCGGAGTCCGTGACGGAGGAGAAATTCACCATCCTGTTCGAGTCGCAGTTCAGCGTTGGGGGGAACGAGCTGGTGTTTCAAGTCAAGGTCTCCACTGATTTCAGCTTCTTACTTCTTTCAAATCAGCATTTGTACTGTTCCAAACCAGCAAGGCTGAGAAAGCCCTGCTCATCTCTCAAAGATTCCACTTTGGGAACTTTTGTTCTCATCATGTGTCATAACATCTAAATTTCACCATTTTTAAGTTACAGGACCATTCATCCCAAGCTTTCCATGTGCTTGAGAATCCAATGTCCTTCTTCTCCCAAACAGACGTTATCACTTCCAGTTGTGGTGATTGTCCATGGCAGCCAAGACAACAATGCCACAGCGACAGTATTGTGGGACAACGCCTTTGCTGAACCGGTGAGTCCCGGTTTACTCCCTTACTCCTCTCTTTGAGCTTGACATTGCACAAATTGCAGAAAGTGCACTATTGAAATTAAATCATTTCCAGCACAAAGCTCAATGCCGCCCCCACTCCCATATTAAAGTACAGCTGTTGCAAAACGTTTTGGTTTTTGTTTTCCAAAAAACAAACATTGAGGTGTCCTATGGGAAATGGTGGCCTTTTGATAACATTGTGCCTCAGAGTTGGATGACACATCAGTTTCCAATCTGCTGTTTGAGGTTTATCTCTACAATCACAGTTTGCAAAGCTATTGTGATAGGAGGGAGAGAGCTTCCTTCTTGGAAAACTGCCAGCTGGTCAGCTGCTTTATATGTAAAATAGTTTATATTTCGTGGATTTAAACTATGTTACATGTCACATTATGTAATAATTCTGGGAGGGAGGATATGTTTTCCAAGTAATTCTCGGAACATATTTCATTTTCAGTAGCCTGGATGGCAGCAATCCTGTGAACGCTGGCAGGAGGTGCTACATGCGGGGCACTCAGAGATGTGGCATAGGGTGGCATTTTCTTGGGACACTTTGTGCATGTCACATAGCGATGTTAAAAAGGTGCAGTGGAGGAGTTTTTTGACTGTGAGGTGGTGGCAGAGATGCGTGTGTGATCTGCAGTGTGAAGCAGATGATACATTTCCCTTTTTAAAAGTACTTAAAGGGGCTTGTTTTCTGAGTAGAGGTGGGGTTGTGGGTGGTGGAAAACTTCATGTTCTGAAATAAATTTCAGAATGTGAACTTAAATTAGGGACAGAAATAAAAAAAAGTAACACGGAGATCCTGACATATAAAACTGAGCAAACCTGGTAAAGACCTCAAGTAGTGTGTGACACTACTCCAAAACTGGAACTTGTGTAGTAGCTTGGCCCTGTGCGTCCTGCTAGGCCATATGCAGACAAACATCCGAAAGAGAAATATAGATGTATCCCAGAGTGCAGTAAGATTGTAAGGTTGGGATGCTCAGTTACATGTGGAAGGGGCTCGGTTGTTACTTGTGATGATCTGTGCAGAGTATCATGGAAATGTCTGTTACCGGGGTGTGACCCCAGATCTCCTCTGTGCTTTCGCAGGGGAGGGTGCCCTTCATCGTCCCGGACAAGGTGCTGTGGCCGCAGCTGTGCGAGGCGCTCAACATGAAGTTCAAGGCGGAGGTGCAGAGCACAAGGGGGCTGTCGGAGGAGAACCTAGTCTTTCTGGCTCAGAAGGCCTTCAGCAGCACCAGCGTCAACCCAGAGGACTACCGCAGCATGACCATGTCCTGGTCACAGTTCAACAGGGTATGGTTCAGAGCACAATACAGAGTAGATTAACTTTCTGTTTCCATGGTGTCCATTTTCTTCCATCTATTTTCTAACCTTTTTCCAAAGTTCCCAGGGGGAGCCAAGCCTATCCCGCCAAACAGACCCAAGGTGTTATATACCTAGGCTGGGATGCTTGACCATCACAGGACACACACACACACACCAGAACCAATTTTCCCAGAAAACAAAAAAAATATGTATGTTTTTAGACTGGGGGGGAGAATTGGAGCATCTGGAGGAAGCCCATGTGATCACCAGGAGAAAGTACAAACTACATTCTAATAGATTCCCAGGTCTGGAATTGAACCCAGGGCCCCAGCGCTGTGAGGCAGCAGTGCTGACCACTGTGCCACTGTGCTGCCCTTCTTTCTTTTCCACTAGTGTGAAATGAAGGAAGTACTGGTCTACTCTTAGTTGCTTTGTTCAACAAATGAAATATTGAAAACGAACACTTTCCCACATAAAAATAGAGGGGAGATGCGGATACACTGGCATCCTTCGAGAAATGGCTGGGTGAGATCCAAGTGTCAGTAAACCATGAGTAACCAGAGGAGGTAGATGAGCTGAATGTCTTCCGCTCATTTGCAACCTGGGATATCAATCCATGTCCCTCCCGTCACGGGTCAAGAGAAGTGGGAGTTTCTTAATTCACTGACCACCGTATTAGAGAGCATCAAGGATGGAAATCATCTCCTCTTGCAAAGAAGCTTGATCTGTCTGAGGTTTTATGACCTGCAATTTTCTTACACAAATATTTGTGTACAGACATAAATGGGTGCAAAACTAGTAATGTTAATACTCCTTAAACATGTCTATGTAAGCTGTCGTCTAAATAAGTTAATAGGCATGAGGCATCCAGCTCCCAATGCTGGCTTACATACAGGAGTCTGCAGTGCATAAACAAGCATAAACCTTTTGCTCTTTCTTGGGTATTTGCCACTTTGGCACAGTAGGTTTCCTTCTTATTTGAGCTGCAAAGACTGGGCTCCTGGTGATGTGCCAGAGACAGCAGTTTGAAACAGAGAGGCACTGTATACTTAATACTTATTTGAAAAAGTCTATACTTGAGCCTAGTGGCTCATCAGACAGGAGCTTTTTCCTGATTTCATTAGCATTAAAAGGCTTGAGAAAAGACTGTGCAACCTCCCCACCCCCACCCCTCTTCTGGTTGGGATCCCAGTCCCTTCCAGGGTCACCTGGGATAAATTTATAAATCAAGGTGAACACAAACAACTGCAGGAAATTACGTTGCTCAGGGGTACATCACCAGTCTGCTGCTGGAACTGTAATCCACTCCTTCCCAGCTGAGAACCCAGAGCGCTAACCACTACACTGTGATGCCCACTAACAGACAACAGCTAAGAGTGTTCGTCTGCGTCACTGTGAAGCCTGTCATCCTCTTGTACCTTGCAGGAAAGCTTACCTGGTCGAAACTTCACGTTCTGGCAGTGGTTTGATGGAGTTATGGAGCTCACGAAAAAGCACCTGAAACCCCATTGGAACGATGGGTGAGAGAGTTCTTCACTATTACCGACCTTCTATGCAGCATTAAAAAATCCAGACTCAATGGAGTAAAGGTCTTGAGGAGTTTTCCTACATAAGGTGTAATTAACTTTATTATGCCCCTTTCAAAAAGATGTTGGGCCAGGTGTTTAAAAGCCAAGAAAGCTACTGAGAGATCTAAACTTTTGTTAGGATCTTTTCCTGCTGTCATCGTTTCCCCTGCTCTGTCTAGATCCAAAACCTCTCCATTACAACAAAAACCTCTTCCAAGATGTTTTAATATGCACAAAATGTTGGTGTAGTTTTATGCCTTTCTAAGCTCTTACCAAGGGAGAGATGCACCCACCCATTTTAGAACTGCTTCACCCTGTTCATAGCTGCATAGCCTATCCTGGCAGGCAACAGGTGCAAGGTCCAGGTCCAGAATTAGAAACGCAGGGCCCCAGCACTGACAGTGCTGAAACACACTGCGCCACCATGTTGATGTATATGCGCATAGCCATCAATGCCACATTTCTCAGTGAAAGATTCTGGACACCTCATATCTTTCAAGGTGGGCGAACAGTTAGTTTTATTAAGTAATTGATTGGTTTTAAGTTTGCGTTGACTCCTTGATCCAAGGTGACCTGCTTTAAGATCACAATCCTAGAGCTGTAAAAGAGTACCAACAGTTCAGTTTAGATATTGCAGAGTGAAGGAACAAAACATTTGAAAATCTAACCCCAAATGCAGCAACTTCTGCAGTGAGCAGATGAATAGAGGATACAGCAACTGTAGCAGGATCTGCAGGAGCAGGCTGAACATCTTGAGGATATGGAAGTGCTGAAGTGGGGTGGAGTGTGAGCTGTGCCCCCTGTGTGTTTCAGCGCGATACTGGGATTCGTGAACAAGCAGCAGGCCCAGGACATGTTGATGTCGAAACCCAATGGCACCTTCCTGCTGCGATTCAGCGACTCTGAGATTGGAGGGATAACCATAGCTTGGGTGGCCGAAAACCCCAATAAAGCAGGTGCGGTATTATGATTAGATTGCTTTTGTTTTCAATTTGATACAGGCAGTGCTTATTTTCAGCTCAGAGTAAATGATTTAACAGTACCCAATAAGAATGTACCTCTATGATTTGCCTAGCAGATAAGTTAAGAGAGTGATGTTTCGAAACTAAATGTTTTGAAAGTCCATCGACTTTTTTCCTCCTGATTGTGCGGTCTGGAGTCGCATGTTAGTCGGCGTCTTCATGCAGAGGTATCATCAAAACTGCTGCTGTGGACTTTGGTACTCAGTGAATTGGTACTGAAGGAAATACGTTCCTAATGATTGATGAGTGCTAGGTAAGAACATCATTTGTGCCCATGATGGCTTGCAAGTGCAAAAGATGATACAGTGATACAATGCTGTCCAGGACAAAGCTGGACAGAGCTGCCTGTTGTCTTCTGGTATTGTTTCATGCAAAATGTCCTGTCCTGGGGGGCACAGGTTTCACATTAAAAAGTTGTGTAGGCCAACAAACTTCACAAGCCCACTGTATTGGTTTCAGTATAGCTGCGCTCTGAAGAAAAACCACAGTTGTGCTTTGGGGAAGAGAGGGATTACTACCTTTATAAGCAGGTCAGAGACCTGCTAGTTGTCGATTTGATTCTGCAGACCTTCCCCTCCTCTCATCTCTGCACAAATCCATTAATCGTTCAGGCTGTTCTAATTGAAGGTTTGCACTTCTTAACCAAGGAGGAGAAAAATAGAACAGGAAGATGAGAATGAACTGCAAAATAGCATGCAACCTTTTTGTTCGTTGCAACAAGAATGGATCAAGCCAGCTTTGCACAGGCTGCCCAATGTTGCCATTTAAGGATGCAGTGAATTTCTGAGGGGATTTACAGAAAACAAAAATTGCAGAAGTCACAGACTAAAAGCTACTTTCAGTATTAAGATCATTTCTTCATTTTTTCGTTTTTACGTGCACTTTGTCCTCTCATAGTCTGTGACAAATGCTGATCTATCTGTTTACCTGCATGTCTGTTCAGATGTTTGCAGCATTTTATTATAATTTTCTTTTATTCAAGTTGTAATTCCAATTTTGTAATAATTTATTCATCCATAGGGACTAACCACTTTTTTGGTGGAATATCAGAGTTTTAACATTGTGATGGTATGGTTGCAAAGGGTTTTTATTATAGAGTCTTTGTCTAGAGCAATGTACATATTTCCTAAACAAGAATGCTTAGTATGAAACTTCCATGTATATGCAGGTATTGAAAAGGGAATGTGATATTTGATTAACAGTGACTAAAATTCAGTGTTTATTCCAGAACTGCATACCACTTCCTCCTGACATTCTGCTGATGCACATTAGACCTTGCTTTCATTCACAAAAAATCAGTTCCGTCTGGGAAAAATGACAATACAGCAGCTAAGAAGTTATTTTTTTAAAAGCACAAATGTGAATGAAAGGCTAGAACCGATTTTCCCTTTTTCTGAGAAGTGAATCAACAGTTGATATTGTAAAGGAAAAATGAATTAATGAATAAGCATATTTTATCGTAGAGTTAATGACACTTATTAGAGTGGAAACTACATGGAAGTGCATTTAAACCAAGCACAGAAGGTGCTTCTTTACACAAAGAGTGATGGGAGTGTGGAACAAGCGGTCCTGCCATTGTTAAAGCTAATGCCCTGGCTTCCTTCAAGGATGGGCTGGGTGAGGTCCTCGTATCGAATACCAAATGTCCTAGATGGGCTGAATGGCCTCTTCCCGTTTGTAATTGTGCTTGTGCTCTCTGCTGGAGAAAGCCTGCATGCATTTTGGTGCATGAACAAACTTGTGTATCAGTTTGGTTTAAGCCAGAACTTTATTAAATTCAAAATTTTTACTTGCCGGTTTTCATTATGACTCGGTTTTGTAAATGATTGATGCTTTATTTACATTGTTGTTGTCTTTTCAGCACTGTGGTGTACATTGCATGTAAACCCTGTTTAAATCGAACAATACATCAGGAACAAACTACAGATGATAGGACAAATGTGTAAATATGTCCGCAGACAATATACTTCAAAAAAGAACAAAAGATTAAATGAGCACTGACCTTTGTGTTTAAAAGTTGAACCATGCCGCTGGTTAATTCTTTAATGATTGCAGGTGGCTGTTTAACATTTGTGTCGCTTCAGCTCTTAGCCTGTGCTGTCAACCCTGTCTCATCTGCCTATGACCCTGCAGGGGAGAGGATGGTGTGGAACCTGATGCCCTACACGACCAAAGATTTCTCCATCCGCTCTTTGGCTGATCGCATCAGCGACCTCAACCATCTGCTGTTCCTGTATCCCGACCGGCCGAAGGACGACGTCTTCTCCAAATACTACACCCCTCCTCTCTGTAGGCTTTTCTTTTTGTCTAATATACTCGTTACTTATTTCAGTGTTAGTTTTTTTTTTTATTTGTAGTACAGAAATAAGTTGTGTATGTAAAATATGAATACCATGATAACAAAATAGTTATAGCATAACACTACTAATAAACTTTATATCACACCTTTAAAGGTATCTTCTCAAAGCACTCCTAATGAATTTAATAGTTGCTAATACTTGTATTCATTATAGTCCTTGAATTTCAGCTATTCCACTAATATCTCCTACCATTTGTTTCCCGCAGCAAAACAAGTGGATGGGTATGTGAAGCCACAGATTAAACAGGTTGTGCCAGAGTAAGTTGAACACTTTTTTTTACCTGTCACTTCACTTCTCACCAGATTGTGGGCATTTGCTTACCTGCAGTTCAGCAATATAGGCGTTTCAAGAAACTGAAATGCATTGCATTTGCTCACACGGATCGATTTTACACATTCTTGGGCAAAAGATTATTAAACTACTGAGCCGGACGATTATTTTGCAGATCATTGTCTGAAAGTCTCTGTGATGGCTGCATTAAAGTTCTCATTACGTACAGACAAACAAAAGAAAGGGAGTGATTTACCCCAGTATTCTCCTGCACAGTACTTGCATTTGTCTTATTTTTCAGTGACAGGCCCATGCATCATGCCCTGCAAAATCCTTAACGTTAAGGATACGTGTTATCTGCGTTTTCTTCTTCTGATTTTTGCTGCAATTGTGTTGTCCGAAATTGACTTATTACAGTTTGGCAAGGCTCATTATGATTGTGTCAGAAACTAAAGATCTCAGTCATTGTTGACGATGAGAATAGGTTAATTTGCAATATCAAATGTACAGTTGTTTTAGATTTCTCATCATGGTGTCTTATTTCATTTCCTTGCTCCATGGGTTCTCATCTGTGGTACTTCATCAGTAGGCATCGCTCTCTCAGCCTTAATTGGTCCTTCAGCATGCATAGATCTCCCTGTTATCAGCTTTGATGCGGATCGCCCTGGGCCTTCCTTTGTCTCCCAGCCCATTTAAACAAGAGCATTAATTCCGTTTGACTCCTTTCATATCGGCGTTGCAAATTTAATTGTGCACACACTTGAGCTGAATGAAGATCTGCCATTTACAACTTCTCTTAGAATGCCAATTGCCAATTAGGAGATCTCACTTGGCTGCATTTCTGCTTAAATATCCTGCAGTTAACATGTGGGACCAGCTCCAAGACGGAGCCATGTAGACCTGAATTCAGTAAATTATTATAGCTTATTAGTCTGGGCAAAGCTGTGACTCAGTCAACCCCAGTGGTACAGTAGATACTTTCTTTCAGGTTGCTTTTCTGCATTCCTTCTCCCTTTCTTGGGTCGTCTTTAATACTTCTTTTTCTGCTCCAGGTTTGCGACTGCACCTCCTGACCCATCTGGGGCAAATGCCACCTATATGGATCACGCGGCCTCTCCATCCGTCAGTCACCCACACACCTATGGCATATACCCCACCACGTAAGTGCCTTGTACTTGCAGAACACGTGTCCTAGGCACACCTCTCAGTGGGCATTCTTTTGCAGCCGACATAATCGTAACAAATTATTTTGTCCATCCATCCATTTTTTAACTACTTCTTCCAATTCAGGGTCATGGGAGAGCTGGGTCCTGTCCCAGCAAGCGTTAGGTACAAGGCAGGGTACATCCTGGACTGGACTCCAGTCCATCGGAGGGCACACAGAGACACAGACACACACAATCACACCAGGGCCAGTTTTTCGCTGAAGCCAGTTCACCTACTAGCATGTCTTTGGACTGCCAGAGGAAACCAGAGCACCCGGAGGAAACCTCTGCAAACATGGGGACAGCGTACAAACTCCACTCAGATAGCAAGACTCTTAAATAAAACCTGCAAAACAACTGTGCACCATTGGCCAGGATTGCTGGAGTCAGGTCAGCCTCAGCTCCTGGGTCCTGCCGGGAGCCTGCAAGCCTGCAGTGATGCTGGTGAGAGACGTGTGGCTCCTTCAGGCAGCACTAACAGTCCTGGAAGGCACTGTGGAGCCTGCAGCGCGTCTCTGGCTGAGTGGTCCTGCCAGGTCTTGTAACCACAAGCTGGATCCTACACGTTTGCAGGTTCTGAGCTGAATTTAAATAAAATAATTTACGGTGGATTACTCTGTATTTTCCCTTTAATAAAACCTTTTTGTAAAAAAGATTGAGGCATTTTGCCTTTAAAGTGTTTGATGCTAGGCATAGGCTAGTTTTATGATAGGCATAACTTAAAACGAATGTAAACCTATTATAAGGCTAAGGCTTTTTTTCAATTTTGTGGTTCCGAACTTATGCCAACATCAAACTGTGTTATGACAAGATGAATTAAAAAACATCTCGTAAAAGCAATACATTATACAGTACGTGACATATGATAACATAATTAGGTTTTAAAACTAGAGATAATGCACCTTAAAGTATAACATAGGTCTATTGTGTGACAGCTTGCACAATCACAGCATTTTTTAAGTATCGTTGTGTATCGTCTTTTAAAGTAACAATACCCATTTCATTAAGCAGCTAGAACAATGCATAACTGCTGGTTTTACACAAGTTGGCAACTAGCATACAAGACATAAAATAATTTTCACTTTGTATGTATCCTGAATTCCAGGTGCATTTAATCAAAATGGATAACAATGTATTCAAAACATGAATGATACCTTTTTCATTGTTATTATCAGATTATGACATTATTTGAAAAAACATCTGATGAACAGAAAGTCATCAAAGTGACAGCAGAATTGCAGTTAATGAAGCTTTAATAAGAGTATCTTCTTTTACGTGATACCTGCCGGTGCCGAGTGTTTTTAAGCAGAATCTAAGAAATTCAAGGATTGTTTCAAGGGGAAAAGTGCTTAAAGCACCAGGATAGGGACATTCTCTTATGAGTTGGTCTGTTTGTGTATGCCCACATACCTCGGCATGTGTCTGTCTGTGCGAATGAGTGTGTGCCTCCCTGTTTTTGTGTGTAAATAGATGTGTGTGCAGTACGTGCGCATACGCAGGTGTCTTCCTGGGTGTGAACGGTCCCATTCTGTCCTTACAGGAATGACACCATGCTGGATGCGGATGGGGAGTTTGACCTGGATGACACCATGGACGTGGCCAGACATGTGGAAGAGCTGTTGCGTCGCCCAATGGAGAGTCAGTGGATTGGACACACCCAATCGTGACCTCTGACCCCTCACTGCCCCCCTCAGCCCCAGAAAGAAGTCATCCCCAACATTTTTGGATGGTTTAATTCCATTGTTTGTTTAATCTCATTTTATTTTATTTTTATTTTATTTTAAAGAACCATAATGTGAAATGTTAATAATGGTTGTGAGTCTAATATTGTTTTTCAGCATGGTAATTGAATTGCAATTCATTCTCTTTTCCTTCGCACCTGTAAAACACAGACATAAAAGAAACGCAGCAGTTTACACTGCTAAAGATATCGCTATCATATTGTAAAAAGCCATTCGCTGTTGCATGTTTGTTTTTTTACAGCTTCTTTTGCGTTTTAAGAAAGTGTCACAAAAAAACTACTGTACAAAAAAAAACTAAACCGTTTTAACAGTCTGTATTCTGATGCAATGGTTCAGTGAAATTGTCTACACCTATATTTGATTCACTGCCTTCTCATCACAAAATAATTTTTAATTATGAATTCACTTAGGTTCTGCTGGTTTTTAGTTCCAAGGATTTGGTGTTTTGTTGTGCGATTTGTGTTTAAAGTAACGTTTTGTGTTATGTTCAAGTGATGAGATAATGGTGCCGCATTTCCAATCCATCTGGGTTGTCAAAGTGCTTGAGGGTGAAGGAGGGAGAAGGTGAGGCTGTAAGCTGCCTGTATATAACTGTGCCTGTTGGGGAACAGGGAGTTGTCTGTGGCTTGGAACCTCAGGGGCAGAAAGCTCTCTTTGTGGGCGTCTGTCTTCTGCCTTAAGAGATCGAAACTACTCTGCGGCTGCCCTGTTGGCTCAGATGCACAACATGAATTATTTTGAAGTAGGAGTTGTGCTCTAAGAGTACTGATGGGCTTTATTTTTTTGTTTTTTTTATATCCCTCCCCAATTAGAAATTGCCAGTTGTCTCTTTACCTCTCTACTCACAGCAGCAACTCCTGTGCTACACAGGAGAACAGTAGGGGACAGGGGGGCAGTCTCTCCTGACCCCCCCTCACCCATCAGGGCCACCCATCTTCTGACTCTGACCCATCTTGTGCCTGACAGGAGTTACTGTAGACTGGAGGAGCAGCGTGTGTCTCGTTGACGTCCCGGCAAGCCTACAGGTGACTGGGAGTTGCATACAGGAGCCGCTATTTTAAAAAGAAACGAGACAGCCGTGGCAGACTAATCGTAAATCCACCCCTGATGGCACTCTGCCACTTGTGTGCCACCTTTTTGGAACTTCTGGTCGCAGTCAGTTACTGATATGACCCAGGATCAACTTTCAACTTAATAAATAATAGAGCACAGCCCCCGATGGCCTTAATTTGCGGATTGTGCACTGTGACTAGAGTGAGGTTGTTGAGGTTCCAGGCCTGCAAGAGAGCCCCTTTCTCCTGTAGGGGACTTTTAATCATGCTGAGCATTGAAGGTTTCATACAGTGCTCCGTTTGCTGTTTTCCTATATGTTCAAAGACACAGTACACTAAAGAGACAACCGCTCACTATGTAGGACTTGAGATTATGGAAGCATAGTTTTTATGTTTAAATGCCCACATGTAAGCTCAGGCAGTATTAAGTCCATTGTGCACTGGATCCAATTCCTGTACTATGTTTGTCTGAAAAAGCAGAAGTTAATTTCATTGCATGTTCAGTTTGTTAGTCATTTAAATGTCAGGGCTTGTATCTTTAGCAATCTTTTGCTGTAAAGAAAACAAAGTACTAGACATCAAAAGCTAACAAAAAGTGATACCATGCACATCCAAAATGTAGGAGATTGGACTGGATGCATGTTTCATTGGTCATTTTTATTTTAATATACATATAATGTATGCCCTATTTAACTCTGATTCCTTGCTTAATGCAGCATTTCTTTTTTTTTATCCTAGTCTGACATTTTTCCTTAAAAGTTGTTTTAAGATCAACTATAGACCATGGCTGCTGTTCCAGAGTCAGGCTTCCTAGACGGCAACGTGGAGTTGTGGGAGTACATGCTTTTGCACAGTGTCATTGTAGTGTAAAATGAGCTTATATAAATTTCCAAAAGCCACCTGCTGCAGTCTCGATGGACAAGGAGTGACAGGAAACGTGCATAGTCCGTAATTTAGTCAGGGCTTGAGAATTCCACTTGTTAAATCAAGAGCAGGATTGGATTTGGTGTGCAGTGGCTTTTAGGATCTTGTTTCTATTTGTCCCTGTAGGAAAGACATCTTGATTACCCATCCCATGACGCTTTTTGAAGAAGAAAATCTAACACAGAATAAGGCTGCTATCTGTTTTCTAGCCCTTTGATGAGGAATCTTTCCCAGATTTTGCATGGAAATTCATGCAAAGCCATGTTTTTTTTCAACCAGTCACTCCTCTTTTTCTGTTGTTCCCCCCTTTAAGATGCAGAATTGGACATAGCCGTCCTGTTTTTCTTTATTCTTTTTTTATCATCATACAAAGAAATAAAACTGTGCACACCTCTGCACACAATCCCTTACAAACCAGAAGGTTAACATTGCATCACTCTGCCTCAACTCTTCCTATCATGATTGCTCAGAACGTAAAAGGCTCTCAGGTATGGAATGGATTATGGTTTCAGAGAGCTGTAACATAAGTATAGAAATGCAAGGAGAAATATATAAATATATTTTCTTTAAAATAATGCTATTTTATTACCGTGTAAATGTCTTTGCATATTATTCTAATCATGACTCATTTCCAATAAAAAAAATAGCTGCCACCACTTTTCAGACTTGCATTGAAATATTGAGCAAAAGCCATCTCTGTTGATTAATGGCAAACTTGGAATTCTATGGTACACAGCTTTAGTATAAATTGAGAGAGATGACTTCTTCTTTCAAACAATCCACTGTCTCCATCAAAAGGTTTATATCTGTGTACTCCCTTGCTCAAAGAGTCTGAAAAGAAACAGGGAAGTTGTGTTTTTTTCTAGTTCCTATTGCTAGTATTTCACCAAGCGTGTTTAATCTTGACTATATTAGGTAACGCTCTGCTCTGTTTTATGTTTGTTTATTATTTGTGTTGTGTTTTACTATGTGGATGTAAGCCAAGAAAAAAAAACAATTGGAATAAAGTTTTATAAATAATTTTAACAGTAAAAAAATCTTCTGAAATAAATGCTGCTGTAGATGTGGATTAACAGCCGTTCATCTGACCTGAACTGAGAAACATTATTCTTTTAAAGAGATTTATGTGTGTTTTAGTTGGAAAGCATGTGGGAAACATTCTGGGCTTTAAACATGTCAAAACCTTAGGACACTGGGGCAGTGGAAGCTGATGTATGTGTCTATGCCTACCTCTCGTGAAGTGAGTTCAGAGGCACAATCTTATACAGCTCTGTAAAGTTCATAATTGTATTCTTAGGCTGTATACCAGTGTATGACAGACCATGATAAGATTGTAATTAACACCCTGTGTTCCTTGCACTGGCGTTTCTTTCCTACTACAACATTACAAGATTTGCAACCAACACATTGGATAGCAAGAAGGCTCGGCTGGGAATGCCACCATTCCTGTACCAAAGGCACCTTTCTGGTAATTGGCGGGAGGTGGGGGTGGGTGTTACTCTTGTAGCCCTTTCTTTTTCTGGGGATGTGAGACCCACTCGCATGTCTTTTTGCTTTGCACAAGGGCTCTGCAACATCACTGCATCACCAGAGCAACATGGTAACCCGCACCTGTCCCTCAGTGTTGCAATAAAAGACTGTCAAAACCGTTTCATGGGCATCCAACAAGGGCACTAATGTGCTCCATGTGGCTGCCAAGACACAGTGTGCTAAATATGAATACACCTGCCCCTCCTCCTTCAAACACAGGGTACCTGTATGGCTTAGAAATCCTCTCTGAGGCAGACAGACATCAGCTGTGAGCTTGACAAGAACCTTCCGTTTATTGTGAAAGAGAAGCAGTTCCATCACCGGTAACAGAAAATACGTGACCAGACACCACTCTTGTGTCCCGAGTCCTAAACGACTCGTGCAGGAAATAAAGGCCATCAACCAGAGCCCCACGTCTGCAAGAAAGCCAAACAGAAATCCTCTCGTCTTTGTTTTTTTCTTTCCCCAAATCCAGTTTGACATTTTACTCAGGGTTGTTATTGTTTAGCTAGTGTCAGAGATCAATCGGACAGAACGCTGTCAAGAATTAAACTCTTAAGATTTTCATTTCCTTTGGGGCTTAGTCCAAGCAAGGCAAAAGAAAAACAAGCCATTTATCACTCGACTGTTCAGCAGGGTAAAGAAAACTCACTCCTGCCACCTTCTGGATGAAACATCTTTGAAGCAGATGGGAAGTTGTGTGTACAACTTGCCTGCATTTTTTCTCAACCCAGGATGTTGCTTGTCAAAGCTGGCTATTGGAAGTCTAAACTACGCAAATCAAAAGTTAAACTGCCCCAATAAATAGCCAAATTAAATTGTCTGCGTAGTGTTAGGAGTATAAAAATGAATTGCAGAAAAGAGGCTTTCTTTACAGCTCATCTTGACGTTTTCCATGAGCCTTTCCAGGCTTTGTTTTAAAGGTTCTAAGCAAATCTTTCATTCTGCTGTTCTGCCTGACCTCTGCGTCTAATCTAATCTCTGCTCTCAAATGAGTTTCTGAACTTTTTTGCTCCTGGTTCCAACACTCTTGGACAGGTTGGGTTTAAAAGCTCAGAATCTTCTGGGTTGTGCTTTCATGCTGCCGAGCCCTGCAGAATTCCTCTGACTTCCAGCTCTGTGCATGAGGTATCCACTTGTTGCTAGGACACCTGCTTGCACCTGTTGCCTGGATACTGTTTGCTGTTTACATGGAAAGCCAGAGGTTACGGAATTGTTGCTGTCAAAAAGATATCTTGGAACATGCAGTACCAGCTTCTTTTTCTGTTATAACACTCTGCAGAAATAAGCAAGTGCATCCCTTTAACACTGATTTATAGGAACCCATTCATTCCATATGTTCTGTGTTTTTGGGTTGTTTGTTATTTATTTAAGAGCATTAGCTATGAATGTACAGGTAGGAGCCCTTACAGTTTAAGGTTTAGTTTAATAAACAGTTTAGTTTGATATGTCCAGGTCAAGGAATGCAGCAGGTTACACAGTGAAATGCACAGCAAATGGACTTGGCAATTGTGGAATATTTCATTATTATTCCATCGTAAGATACAGTATTTGCTAAGTCTTGAAGAAGAAAAAGAGTATGGGATCTAAAATGGGATTTTCAGTTTTTATTTATTTTCTATCAGATGTTGCATACAGATGAGCAACCTGTGTCAGGCTGGCGGACGTCTGGCAGGATTTAACAAAATCGATGCCCTGTCCCGTTCTGTATCTAATATTGATGGAGTTGTCTGGATACAAGTAGGAAAGTGTCTTTATCATCAAGGAAAATAATGCTGGAATATTTTTGTCATGCACGGCTGATCAAATCATGGCAATCATGTTTTGCATGGACAAGACAATTTCATTTTAAAACAAATTATTTGTTTGTGACACTGGAGCTGGGATTGCAGGAAAGGTAGATCTTATTTATGCAAATGTATCGGGGAAAAAAGGTCAAGCAACATTTTGCTGGGTGTTTCAGTGTCCAGCATTTTGATTTATTAGATTTCTATTTGTGTCCTCTTCTGAAAATAGAAGCTTCGACTACTGTCACTCTAAATTGCCTCACTTGGAGAAAATGAAAGGGGAGCAATCAAGGCAGTCCTCGCATGCAGAATTGTACGCTTTCTTCTGTGAATTGGACTAGCTTCCTGAATTCCCCAGCACCACTCAGCACTCCTGAGTACACTGCCATTCCTGCTGAGTGACCCCGTGAAGCAGATGGAGTAATAACTCCTGCTGTAGGTCCCAACTATCCGACATTCTCTGAGAAATGGTGTCATTCAGGCTTCGGACAACACCCAGCATGTGAACATTATTGACATGAATGCATTAAGAAAGATTTTGGCATCTCTTTTCAGAGGGTAAATGTCATTTTCAAATCCCTTCTCACTATTGTTTTTTATCAGCTCTTACATACAGTAGTGTGCATTGTGTCCTGCATCATATTTTGCACAGCTGGGGATAATACAGTACGTATTTGCCAATGTTAATAATATTTTCAGTAATTGATGTATACACAGATGAGCAATGTTTGGCAGTATTTAATAAAATCGATGCCCTGTGCCATTCTGTATCATTCTACGAAAATTAAAGTAACAAGACTCAAAATAGCACACTTCGCAGATTGCGTTTTTCTGAACTCCGCAATTCTGTTTTGCACGTGTAATAGTACAACTGAAATTGTACATCTTAATTACTGAAATACACAGCATGGTAAGTTAGTGAGTCTGCATTTTAAGTAAACGAAAGCCTTCAAATGGTTTGTTAAGAGTTAATAACTTCCCGAAAAGGCTAGATTCAGGTGTCCCGCTGAGCTCCGTATAGGACGGGCTGCGCACTCGAAACCAGCCGCCAGCGTCTCTCGGTTCTCAATGGGGGCGGTTTCGAAATGACATCACGGCAAGTTTGGGGAGGTGAAAGGTCACCGGCAGCTGTAACAGGAAGGAAAGGAGAAGGCAAAGAGAAAACTGAAACCGCTGGAGTGAGGAGCAGCGGTGCACCGTCCTCCGGGCTTGTCGCAGCTGGCGACAGGAACACCTTGACGAGGTGTCCCTGCAGCTGGACCTGCTGTCGTGCACAACACCGAAAGAGCGAGCAGCCCCCTGTCTGTTCTTGTTATTGCTAGAGATAAGCCTGTCTTGGCAGTTTATCGGGCTGGAGTTCTAAGTGTTGACAGCTCCGTGGAGATGCGTTGTCGAAAAAACTAGTAGTTTTCATCCACAATCCTGTTTTCTAAAGTGAGAAATGTCGATGTACTTATTTCCCGGTCTTAAGTACTTTTTATATTCGTTTTCTCGTTTGACTGCGAGTCGGACACCATTGTTCGTCTCCTAAGACCTGCAGCTGTCCTGTTTCCGTTGAAGTCAAACTTTTTTGCTAATGGCCGGCACGAAGCTTGAACGGACGATCTGCCGATAAACAAAAAGGCGTGATTCGCAGCTACGCAAACACAGTGCTGTAGTACGGGACCCCTCTCCATGTGGGCTGCTTGGCTGGGTCCGGCTCTTCTGGTGGTCGTGGTGTCGGCCATGGCGCTGCTCTGGAGAGACATAGCCTGGAGAGCCAAGGGTCAGCGGAGGTCGCTGGGCAGCCTGCTCAACCACTACCTGGGCGTGCGGGTGCTGGGCTGGCTGGGCCGGAGGCAGCGCCGGCGCCTGGAGTCCGATACCAGGGCTGTGCAGCGGGTCCAGGAGGAGACCTTGCTGGGGCGCCTGCGGAAGAACGCGGAGACCTCCTACGGGCGCCTGCACGGTTTCGGCTCGATTCAAGGTACCGTCGGCACGTTTTGACATCAGCCAGACAAGGGCTTTGCAGCATTTTCAGCTCTACCTCGGTCTTCGCTTCGCTTATCCAGTTCGGTTACTTGGAACTCTTTGCATACTTGCTTATTTGACCTTGCAAAGTGCCCTAGAAAAACGACATATATGCTGGTAACTTTTCTGACGCCTAAGTAATCTGTATCACCATCATTTTTTTATGGCGAGATTCACACACTTTCGCAAACTTTCTCTAATTTTTAAAAGAGACCTAAGAAAATCCCATATTGTTAATGGCAATCTAAGATAAGATCACTTGATTGGCCATATACAATTTCTTGCATTAGGAATTTGTTTTTTCACATACCCCCGCTTGCTCTCCAGGAGACACACAGAGAGAGAAGCTGGGGGTCAGAGCGCAGGGTCAGCCATTTATACAGCGCCCCTGGAGCAGCTGGGGTTAAGGGCCTTGCTCAGGGGCCCAACAGAGTGGGATTCCGCTGCTGGCCATAGGATTTGAACCGGCAGCCTTCCAGCCACAGGCGTAGATCCTTAGCCAAAGATCTATATATATACAGTATATGGCCAATAAAGTGATCTCTCTCGAAAATATTAGGTGATATTGTTTACGAAGTAATATCACATTTAAAGCCAGCGTCATCTCATTTAAATTCAATCTCATCTGGCTTAAACCCAGTAATTGTTTTTGTTGTTCTCCACGGCGCTAATAGGCTTGTGCAGAACCGGTAACATCCCAAGCAATTTGATCCCTGTGGTTTCAGACGGCGAAGAGTTTCGCGCGCGCCACCCGCTGACGGGCTACGAGGACTACAGGGAGCTGGTGGAGCGTGTGGCGGGCGGGGAGGTGGGGGCGCTGACGGCGGAGAGGCCCAGCGTCCTGGCCCTGACCTCCGGGACCTCCGGCTCCTGCCGCATGCTGCTGAGCACCAGGGACACCAGCACTGAGTTCTTCCTGCAGGTGGGCACCGAGCCCCCCGGGGCTGCTGTGGGTTCGAGCTGCTCCTGCAGGGAAGGCAGGGAGATCCGGACACTCTCCGAGTGCGGCTGTCCTTTAGCATGAAAGAGGAGAAAACCTCCAAGCAGACCATCAAGACAGGGGAGGGGAGACACAAACGATTTAAGACGTGCAATTCAAAATGCAGACTAGCTGGGCAAAAGACGAAGCATACCGAGGCAACAGCCAGGGGGTAGAATCGGGCAGGAGGGGTAGGACAAAATCCATCTGAAGTCCAGGCGCACAGTCCAAAACTGTGTTGGAGACTTTTTTTCTGGTGTTGAATTCTGCTTGCTGGAAAAGGCAGGTTTAGCCTCGAATTCAAGGAAAGAGGTGTTTTCAGAGAGATAGGAACGTTTGAGAACGGCTCCAGACAGGGCAATGAGAGGGGGCCCATTCGGGGCGTCTAGCTCATTAGGTGGGATTTGAGCAGGTTTTCAGTGTTTTCTTCTGCTCCCGTCAAGAGGTACAGGATTGGGACTTGTTGCTGTGTCTGATGTCTTGGGCAGGGCGTGGCGGTGTGCCTGGATGCCATGCAGAGGGCCCATCCGGGCACCCAGAGCCTGCAGAGGACAGCCAAGTTTTTCTACAACCCAACCTGGCGCCAGTCGGAAGCGGGCATCCCCATCGGCCCCAACTCCTCCACCCCGAGGAGCTCTCGCCAGCTCCTCAGCCTCTACACCACCCCCGCGCCAGCCTTCGAGGTGCCCACCGAGCCAGAGGCTCTCTACCTGCACCTCCTCTTTGCTGTCAAGGACCCCTCGCTGGGCACCCTGGAGTCCAACTTCGCCTCCACCATCTACTACGCCTTCTGCGCCCTGCAGGTATAGTGGTGCCCCAGCGGCCCTCGGGCCCCCTCTCTGCTTCTCACTCCCCCTCGGTCACGGGATGAATTGCTTAGCTCTTTTTGAAAGGCTAACGTCATGCAGAGGGTGAGTGCTTTGAAGTCTGGAGACTGTTGAGGGATTTAGATCCTGGCTGAAAAAGGTTCCAAAATGCAGCTTCCTTCGAGAGAGGGGTGATATCAAGAGCCTGCGCTCCAGAGTGCTGGTACTCTCCCGGGTTTTGCTGATATTACATCTCTTTTTGATTATATATATGGTTTTAGTACATCGGTGTATGTTTCTGCTTTGATATTTCTTCGCCAGACTTCCTGATAATTACAGCAAAGGCAAAACAGCAGGAGCAGATAAACAGCTTGCTCTTAATTACCTGCATAACACCCAACCAACTCATTGGGGACATATACCATACTCGTACTATAGTATACCCTAGTGAACGCTCCTCGGGCACACTGCTTGTGATAGCCCGGTGTGAAAAGTGTAGTGAAGCCACAGAAACTGTGGATTAAATCCCAGTAAAACCATGGTTCACCAGCAATACCAACAACTAGGAATGAGCCCTATAGAAAGGTTTAGAGAGTGTTTTAGTCTCGGTACGTTTTTCTTCTCCTGGCCAGAGGACGAGGAGGCTGGGACCCCCTTCCAGAGTGAGGAGTGACCAGGGGGCAGCTGCAGAGGGATTGTGTGCAGTGTTTATTATCGTCAAGTGAGGAAATGAGGTCAGGATTGATTACTGATTAGGACAGCTGAGGCCAATTAAGCCTGGCTGTTGTCATCCGTCCCGAGCTGTGGCGATGAGGTCTCCGGTCTCTGCAGGAGCGCTGGCGAGAGCTGGCCGAGGACGTGGAGCTGGGCCGGGTCCGGCCCGAGCTGGCCGTCCCGCAGGAGGTCCGGCGCGACCTGGACTCGCGGCTCC